ATCAAGCCTGGACACACTGGCTGAACTGCCTGACAACTGGCTGAGCAGGCCAGGCCTGGCTAGCAGGGCTGGGATGAGGTTGGGGTCAGAAAGTCGAGAGTGGACATCCAAGTTGAATGCAGTGGGTGCATGCTTGTAACCCCAGCCATCGGGAGCCCAAGGCTGGAGGGATAGGAATTCAAGGCCACCCTGGGCTACATGAGACCCTGCCTCAAAAGCACTCAGTGGTTAAAAGAACATGTTCCTCTTGCAGAGGCCTGGAATAGCGTCCATACACATCAAATCAAAATAAATTACTGAAAATAAAGTTGAGGGGCTGGAGAGATGGCTCGGTGATAAAGAGCACTTGTTCCTCTTGCAGAGGACATGGATTCCATTCTCAACACCCACATGGCGGCTCATAACTATAACTCCAGTGCCAGGGGATTCAGTGCCCTCTTCTGGCCTCTGCTGGGACCAGGCATGCAAGCAGTGCACAGACATACATTCAGACGAAACACCATATACACGAGATTTTATATTAAAAAAAAAAATGAAAGGGGGTGGGTGATTTGAACGAGAATGGCTACACAGGCTCAAATATTGAAATGCTCGGCCCCCAGTTGATGGAACAGTTTGACAAGGATTAGTGGTCCTGGCCTTGTTGGAAGAAGTGGGTCACTGGGGATGGGTTTTGAGGGTTCAAAAGCCCATGATACTTTGTCATTTCTCTCTCTCTGCCTCTTACTTGTGTATAAGGATGGAAGTTCACAGCTCCTGAACCAGCATCGTACTTGCCTGTCTGCCTGCCGCCATGCTCCAGACCAGGATTGTCATGGACTCGCTCTCTGAAATGGTAAGACCCAATAAACTCTGTATTCTGTAAGCTGCCTTGTTCATGGTGTCTTATCAGGGCAATAGAAAAGTAATGAGGACGGGGAGTTGGGGAGATAACCCAGTCAGTTACATGTCTGTTGAACAAGGCTGAGGACCTGAGTTCAATCCCCAGCTCCCGTGTGGCATGCTGGCATTTACTTGAAATCCTGTCACTGGGGAAATAGAGACAGGTGGATGATCACCAGAGCTTAAGGGCCAACCTAGCATAATTAGAAAATCCCAATGAAAGACCTTATCTTTAAAAACAAGACACTTAAGAACAATGCCTCTGGTTCACCTCTATGACATACACACTTCCAAAAAAACTCAACTATGATTTAAAAAAACAATTTTTTTTAATGATTTATTTTCATTTCATGTATATCAGTGTTTTGCCTGCATGTGTGTCTGTGTGAGGGTATTGGATTCCCTGGAACTGGAGTTACAGATAGTTGTAAGCTGCCATGTGGGTGCTGAACCCAGGTCCCCTGGCAGAGCAGCTAGAGATTGTAACCACTGAGCCATCTCTCCAGTGGCCCTCCCTCTTTGAGATGGGATCTCTCTATGTAATCTTGACTGTCCTAGAACTCATTATATAGACCAGGCTGGTCTAGAACTCACAGAGATCTGCCTGTCTCTGTTTTCCAAGTGCTGGAACTAGAAATATGTTTTACCATGTCAGGCCCAAAAAAGAAAAAGTCGAGAGATGATTTTGCCTGTCCTATAAAGACCACAAGACGCCCATCATAATCCATTCTCTCACTTTGTCGCATAGAAGCTTTGTTGAGAAAGCTATACACCCCACCCTCGGTTGATGTAGCTACATCCTCCCCAAGGATCCCCCACAAAAGAGTATAAAAGTCACATACTTTATACAGCAAGTATCCTCACACCTTTTCCAGACTTGTACAGACACAGATATCTCTCTCCTGTGGTTCATCAGCTTCTGGTCTATGGCCTGAAAGCTGTTTCTGACTGACCACTGTAGCTCTCCTGTTGGGGGAAAGAGGGGTTCCTGGTACAGCAAGTATACTTGGCCAGTGCAAGCATGGACAAGTTGGAAGGGCCCAGAAACAAACACCTCCAATGGCAGAAGACCTCAACCAATGATGGATGAGGAGTTCAGGGGGTTTCCTCTACCTACCCCATGAGAGGGCAGCCAGGCATGCTTTCTGCCTCCGAGGTCTCCAGTTGCCCGAAGCAGTAACTTTCCAGCTTCTGTGTCCTTTACCAACACTGTCTTTCCTTCCTAGCACCCTTGCCCAGTGCGCACACACCCCAGTGCTTCCTGGAATCACCTCCGAATCCCTGTAATCTGGACACTTGCCTCTGTATCAGTTTCCTGTAAAACCAAGTCCAAGATGGCTACCCACGGTTATATTGGCTTCAGCTAGCATGTATTAGCAACACCCTAGGACATGACAGAGTGAAGCAAGGAGAGAAATCGGGGTCCCTGGTATGCCACACAATTAACTGGGCATCTTTGTAACAGAATTGTCTGGTTTTTAGAAAGAATTTGATTATTTTTAAAGTGTGTGTGTGTGTGTGTGTGTGTGTGTGTGTGTGTGTGTGTGTGAGTGTAGGTAGGTAGGTAGTGGTGGAGGCTAGCTTTGTGGGTGCCAGGGACCAAACTCTGCAAGCTTCTGCAAGAGCAGCAGTGCTTAACTGCTGAGCCATCTTTCCAGCCCGAGCTGTCTGATCTTAGCCATTACACCTGCCCAACATCCGTTTTCCCTTTGGGTCCCATCACCCTGGTTTTCTGCTGGGGAGCCACTTTCTTAGGACTGTAGCTAATCTGTTCACTACACCTGATTTAGGGGCAGTGGGAGCATGTGCCTCAGGTCTAGGCCAAGAGAGCAACATGTCCCTGGGCACAGTGATGGTCCAAAATGGGTCCCAGAACCAAATTGACCACGATCTCAGGTAAAAAGGGACAGTGTCCACTACACTACTGTACCAGTGAGACAGAAGTCTGGAGCTGTGGATGGCTATCAGAGCTCCACCTGAACCTCCTACAGAGCCACAGAAGGAGGAAAAGAAGTTCAAAGACAGAGGGCAGTGGTGGTACATTACTACCTAGCTGCTTGGGAGACTTAGGCAGGATTACAAATTCAAGACCAGCACAGGCCATATAGCAAGACCTTGTCTCAATTTCTAAGAACACAGAAAAGATGGAAAGATGACAGTGCTGTTACTTAAGCATTATATCTGCCACCCTGAAACTTGAGCTCTTTAAAAAAACGCTGCTTGGATAGGGGCAGGGTGTGTAGGTGCCATGGTGTACATATGGAGGTTCAAGGACAGTTTGTTGGAGTCAATTATCTACTATGTGGGTAGTAGAGAGTAAACAGTGTGACTGGCTCAGAGACCCAGAACCTTATGATTCTCAGCCCTGATTCCAGCAGGTCTTTCTGAGGGCAGCTTCCTGCCAGCTCTTGGTCATGAAGAAGCATGCAAACTATTGCTAATGCCATTTTAAACTGGGTTTCTGTCACTTGCAACGGAGCAAGCTGTTTAATAAAAAACTAGCCCTAACGGGAGCATTCCCTTACTCACCAGAGGCAGCCAGCCACACGCTTGCAGCCAGAGCAGCTCATTTTGTCCCGTCACTACCTGCATAACTGGGGGAAAGCAAGTCAGCTGCCTTTCCAACTCTGTGGCAACAGTTTGTCCTCTGAAGTAAGGGTGGAGCCCTGAGTGATGGCTGCACCCTGGGCCACATGAAGTCCCAGGTTGAGCTTCTGCCATTGCTGACGCCTTGACCACAGCTGTTCAGCTGTAGCTCTGAAGCTGTAACCCACCCACCTGGTGCTTCAGGGAAGGCAGGACAGACACCCTGGGATCTGCAGATGTCTGATGAGCTGAGCATCCTCGGGCATCGGGAGGAGCGATGACCTTCCAAGCCACTCTTCTGACCCTTGTGTCTTTCTCTGCATGGTCCCAGTTGAACCTGAAACCTTTCCTCTGCTTTGAAGGAAGAATGAGGAAGAGGCGTTTTGACCAGATCTGAAGATCTGAAGGTCTCTGCACTGACTCACAGAAACAGGGTTGCTGACCCATGGGATGTTTTACAGATGTTCCAGATGACACCTGCATGGTGAGGAGCACCCAGGTTAGTGCCTGGCACATCACTAGTGCTCCACAGAGCTCTCTTCCAGAAGCAAAGCCGGAGTCGGAAGAGAAACGGTAATGTATCTCCTCAAGTGTCCAGCCCTTGGCATGATACCTGCCTCAGAGTAGAGAAGAGAGAAGCGGGGAGAAGGTGGAACTAAGGGAAGAGAAAGTGAAGAGAGACGACAAGAAGGGGAAGGATGGAGGTACAGAGAGGGGAAGTAAGAAAATGTCCATGTCATTCAAAGGTTCCCCTAGACCAGGAAGCTCAGCCAGGGTCCGGGGACAGGACTAGGCAGTGAAGACAAGGATGACGAGATCATCATCTCGTCCTAGTCAGTTCAGGGGAAGTAGGCTGTCACACCGGCTGGCAAGGCTTTCTTGGCTAAGGGGCTTCCCAAGGGAGGGTCTGGGCCCTTTCCTGCTGCCCAGTGGTCATGGAAACCACCTCCTTACCCACTCGGCTTGCAGCTTCCCTTTTTCCTCTGGTGTCCAAAGGTCGACTCGACTATTAACCTCTCCCACATTTAGGAATGGAGCTCCAAGGTGAGGAGAGAGGGAGGTATTGCTCAAGGTTGCTGCATTCCCAGTCCGGCACCCTGAAGGAGACCTGTCCACTGCCCAGCCTCCCAGCAGGTATGCCTCAACAGGTGTACTTCATGCTTGGGCTAGTTTCTCACGCTCCAGGGTTTGTCACATGCTTAACCTAGGGCCAGTCTCCAGGGAGGAAGCAGGGCCCTTCACCCAGCAAGTCCTAGCTCCTGAAGCCAAAGACCACAGGAACCTCAGGGTCACCAAGAGCAGAGAACAATGTGTTGCACCTCAAGGCTCATCTATCCACAAGCCAGCCTCTCAGCGCTGGTTTTATCCCACCAACCAACGATGTGTCCTACCCAACTGATAAGATTTGCCTCCTTAAATCCTCTCCACCAAGACAGAACCATCGACCTCTCTCCGGGTAACGGAGTCCAGTGTCACATAAACCCTCAACAAGACAGCTGAAACTCAACACTATTTTGTTTTTTAAAGAGAAGTTTCACATGAACATTTCATTTATTAAAATAGTTTCTGTAAACTCTTTCAGAAGAATATACATTTTCCTTGCTTGAGAAGCATTTCAAGGCACCATAAGATGATGGTCTCTTTAAGAACACCCCTCTATTCATGTGTGAAAATTCCATCAGAAAAAAAAAAATACACATCACACACACACACACACACACACACACACACACACACACACACACACACGAACCCGTACGTGATCTCAGCCACCAAGAAAACAGACACAGGGTCCAGGGCCTGTTGTGGCAGAATGACAACTTTGGAGGGCATCTGACTGTTGATGTCCCAAAAGAAGAGGTGGACTGAATACTTGTCACTGAAAAGAACCCGTGAAGCCGAGGAGAGGTACGCCTCAGAACCCAGAGTCCGAGTAAACGTGGCACCGAGCGTCTCTCCTCCACTTTCTCTCTTCACTTTTTTTCCTCCTCTTCACTCAGGGTGGAATTCTCCTGCAGCGGGGACGTCAGCTTGTTCTGCAGAAGGGCCGCCAGCTTTTTGGAAGTCTTTTTGAGAAACGTGCTACCCGGGTGGGCACTGTTCACGTGCAGGTACAGGTCCTCCTGGGTGGGGCCCGTGTAGCCACAATCCTCACACACATAGAGCTTGTCCCGGCGCTGCTTGTAGGCATACTGCTGCTGCACACCGTGGATCTTCTTCAGGTGGGACTCCAAGGAACATCGCTGCGTGAAGGCTTTGTAACACACATCACATTTGTAGGGGCGAATGCCTGTAAGGATGAGGGGCAGACAGGTCACCAGCTGGTCATAGCCAAGCCCAAGCTTCCCCTCCTAGTAAACCACGGAAGCGTCCCATAACCAAGATCCTTGACAATGTGAGGAAGGCGGGGCCCGAACCATCTACAAGGGTCCCGACATCTACACAAGCAACCCTAATACAGGTGGGCACCAATGAGGCAGAGCCCAACACTTGACGCTAGGAGAAAAACTTGTATTCTTCCCACTCATCTGCCTTAAAGGTTTCATCTTTTAGTGGCAAGGTAAGCCATGTTTTCATTTTTTGTACTGTGGGCTTTCCTGGAAAGAGACACGGAGACAAAGATCCTAGAGTAAGTTTACTGGAGAGGCCATGCCAGGAAGCACGGGTCAGGCAATGAAAGAGAAAGACGCGGAAGGGAGGAAGCCAAGGGTGAACTGTGCTGGAGATGACAGGAGGCGGTGCAGAACACACTCACACTGTGCTAAGCATTTCAGGGGACAGACGAAATGAAGAACTAGCAGTAGGTGGCTGTAGCTCAGCTGGTAAAGGACTGGGTCTGGGCTCCATCCCCAGAACCTGTATTTTACAAAGCAAGGGGTGGGTGTGGTGGCTGTCAGGTCCACAGGAAACTCCATTTGATTAACGTTAAAATTCTGACCTTTAGAAGTCTTACTGTAACAATAGCACAGTGGGAGGGGAAGAAATTTGAAACATTTCTCATTTGCTCAGAACTGTGCTTGTAGCCACTGCTAAATGCGAATGTAACTCATTTACAACGGCACACACCTTTAATCCCAGCCCTCAAGAGGCAGAGGCAAACAGATATCAGGAGCTCAAGGCCAGTCGGGGCTACACCATGAAACCCTGTCTGCAGTTTCTAGGAACCAATGACAGGTGGATCCCTGGCACTTACTGGCCTGCCAGCCTAGCCTAATTGGCAAATTCCAAGCCAAGTGAGAGACCCTTTCTCAGAAAAAGGGGCTGTGGCAGGTCGGGGGCACAGTGAGGAGACTCAGTAACTAAAGTTGTTAGCCACCAAGGCTGACCAGACGATGCCAGAGTTTGGATACCAGAAAGCACATGGTGGAAGGAAAGAAAGAATTGCCTCCCATAAGTTGTCCCCTGACCTCCAAAACTCACACACGGCAAGCACAGGCAGACACACACAGAGACAGACAGACAGACAGACAGACAGACACACACACACACACACACACACACAGACAGACAGACACACACACACACACACACACACACA